CGGTACAGTTCGACGGTTTATATGTACAAAAGAGAACAATGGCAAAGTCGGAGAGTCGGAGATCGGAGGTGCCATTCGGCGCACAAAGGGAACATTCAGAGACGAGAGATATCGTATGGAACACAAAGGGAACATATCTACGGAAGAGGCGGAAAGATCGGACCGAAAGATCCGTCGCAAGCGACGGGAAACTAAAGTCTACAAAGGGAAGCTATGATGTCAGACAAAGGGAACAGGAAACAGGAAAATCGGAGTTGAATCCGTTCAAGATCTGGAACCACCGGGGCGTTGAGCCGCCGGTGGCCCGGTGCATGTGATAGGCGTATCCCGCCCTCGACCGAAACGGGAAAGTCGGGATCGGCGTCGGTGAAGAGGTCGGCGAAGGGTCGGAGATTGGATCGGAGGAGATCGGTGTAGATCGGTGACGATCGGCGGAGCGGGTCGGCGTAGGTCGGTCTGGATCGACACGTGACACCATGATGGAGGGCAACGTTGGTGGAGAAGGAGTGGGTGAAGGACCGGAGGATTGTCAGGAAATGGAGGTGGATGTTATGGACGCCAACGAGGGGGATTATGAGGAAGGTTCTGCCATAGAGTTCAACGACGCTAATTGGAGGATCGTACAGATGCAGTTCAAGCATGCTCGTCGGATAGTGCTGTTTTTGAAACAGTTGACTTCCATCACCGACCCAGAGCAACTGCGATCACTTGTCTCCCTTACGCGTGCTTTGGCAGACTCCAAATCCTTGGATGGCATCCATATGGCGACATCTACGGAGCCAATTACTCTGTATAACCTTGCAAAGCAGTGCCATGCTTATGAGAACCATACGAAGACTCTCACCTTCTTCTCTATGATGGCCAGTCTGAGGCTGTTTGTACGTGCAAATAGGTATGCACATTCAATTTAATCTTATCTCACAGTTTCCTGATTTGTTTTTGAATAGGCTGATTGTCAGCGAGGGCTGGTCTAACGCTCGAGTATGGCGCGAGTGTTTGAAGAAGAGTGGTGAACCTATGAGGAATTTCCATCTGTGGATCCGCGAAGGAACTATTCTCGTCCAGTTTGCTAAAGTCGGTGAGTAGAAACTCTGTTGCCCTATCTTAAACTGACTGTGTGCAGGCGGCCTACCCATGTTGGTCCTTTTGGCACTAGTCAATGTGAGGACCACCGTAAGGAGCAACGAGGATGATTTCCTGTCGGAAATTTGGGAATTCATGCTCAATCCTCCTGGTAGGCTTTCTCACCATAACAATTATCAAAGTACTGACCGGATTAGCCGGCGATGCAGGTGACTTAGTAAGGTTGCACATAATACCTGCCTTACAGATGATCAACCGCATGGTGTGCTTTCATGTCGTTCTCAACATGACCGACGAAGACAGAAACTTAGTTTGTTTGGAGTCCCCTGACATCAATAACACCAGGGCTTACTTCAAGAACTTGACTGTGAGGTAAGTCCAATGTCGATTCAAACTATACTAGGACAGATACCAATTTGATATAGGGGCTGGAGAATGTCTAGGCATGGTCGCTGCTGGGCAGATTATCTACAGAAGTACCAGCTATGTCCCTACAAGCAACAACATGGCAAGCCGCCATCTTTTGTTGCCCATCCACCCGACCCAAATTTCAACCTCACCTTCAACGTCTTACCTCTGTCCAGTAAGACACTAGTCA